AAAAAAAAAGGATGTTGGAAGGATACAAAAGAAACTCATCAAAGGGTGTCCAGTGGTGGGGGTGGGGGAAGGGTAGAATAGGAAGGGATGGGAATGAGATTTTTCACTTCCTACCTTGTTATATTTTGGTTTTTAAAATCACACGAATGGGTTGTGTATTCAAAAAATAAATGCATTTTTTTCAAGTTATAGATGGTAACTTTGTGAAACCAAATGTTGAGCTGTAAAATGTCACGTACGTCACATCAAACCTTGTGATCTGTGAAGCCCGGAACAGGCAGGAGGGATCCTTGCTCGTTTTAAACTGTGAGTTATGCGAACTTAGCTCCCGCGTAGCGCTTTCTGCTGCCTCCTGCCCTCCCGAGAGGCTCCCTACACTGCCAGTCTCAAGAGTAGGGCGGGGACTTCCATGCAGGGCCTGGCACTCAGGAAGTGCTCGCTGTTTATTAGACTAGATCGACAGATGACTCTGGTGTGCTCTGGGGCCCGACTGCCTGAGTTCTAATCCCAGTTTGTCACTTATTAGTTGGGTGACCTTGAGCAGGCTCAGTTTCACCTTCCTGTGCCTCAGTTTCCCTATCATAAGGCTGCTGTAAGGAGTAAATGAGCTCATTTATTTATACACAGGACCTGGCACAAACTGAGAATCTGTCTTCTTCAAGCAGATGGAGGGCTCAGACGCAGTGACATTTGGGGGTGCTAGGAGGTCAGGGAGGCAGGCAGGCAGGCATTGGTCCTCAGGGCGGGGCAAGGGAAGGAAACGGCCGGCCGTGGCAAATGCCGCCAAGATGACAAGTCACAGGAAAGAGTCAGGGGCAAAGAGGTCACTGATTATCTTGGTCGGAGTAGTTTCAGGGGAGTAACGGGGACAGAAGCCAGCAAGCCCCGAATCAGGGAAGGCGTGGGAGGTGACAGAGGAGTGATCAAGGGCAGATGGCTCTTGAGAGGCGTGGCTGAGAAGCAGGGGGAGATGTGGGCGGCTCCCAGAGGAGGGCTGGGAGGTACGGGGCGCCCCACTTGTCACTCAGGGGACCCTGAGCTTGCTCAAATGCTGATGGCCAGTGACAATAGCAACCCATAGAATAAGAAACCGCAAGTCCACATGATATAAATAAATGGATGAAGGAGTCAATAAATGGGGAAGAAGGAAGAACTCCTGACAGTCAAATCGTGCCTAGAGAAGGGAAGGGTATTAGAAGCCACCCTTTGTCAACTACCTTAGTGACAATGGTTTTGGGTAAGAATCACTGGTGGACGCCGACCCTGGAGAGTGAGCAGACATTTACACGGTCTCACAGTATGTCCTTGCGAGACACTTACCGGTTCCAAAGGGAATAACGGGACCTTCCCAGTGGAGACCCCGGTAAACACGACCGTAACTGAGTCACCCACGTTAACTTCAACATGGGAAGAAACGACACCGTG